GGGGGGAGAGAGGCCAGTGTGAGGCCACCCGATGCTGGATGGCTCTCTGCAGTGGATCGCCCCTCGCCCAGGCCTCCCCTTCCCCAGGGTGTGCTCCCTGTGCCCCCCCAGCGCTCAGCCCCCCAGGTCCCCAGCACCACTCATGGGGCGGGTGATGCCCTGAGCCCGCTGGCATCACCGGCCGAGGCAGGGAGGTGCAGGCAGGCCTGGTAGCAGGTTCCCCAGGCTGGGCGTTCCCCGACTCCCTACAGGCAGAGATCCCCTCTGGCATCCCCCCGACTTTCCGGGCTGCGGGGAGACCCACGGGGTGCTGCCCAGAGCTTGGGGACCGCAGGGTCCAGGGTGTCCCTAGGGGCAGGCAGGGCCAAGCGCAGGGGAGGGGGACAGTCCCCTGTGCCTGGACCCCTGCCAGGGGACACGGGGCTGGCAAGGCTGGGGGCTGACGGCCGGCGGTGCTTCCCGCAGCAGACAGACGAGGCGGCACAGACAGACAGCCAGCAGCTACACTCCTCAGACAACACAGACAAGCAGCAGCCCAAGAGGTTACACGTCTCCAACATCCCCTTCCGATTCCGGGACCCTGACCTGCGGCAAATGTTCGGGGTGAGTCCGGCCCCATCCAGCCACCCGTGTCCCACTGCTCTCTGCTCGGGTGCTGCCCCGTGGCACCACAGGGACCCCAGCACTGTCCCGTCCCAAGGGCCCATCCTGCCCAGCCTGCAGCATGCACAGGCACCTCCGTGCAGCTGCTAGCCGGGAGTGGTGGCTTGCAGGATTTGCACCCTGGTTAACAGCCAGGCTGTCAGACCACGGCCCATGCGTGGAGGGGGGAGTGACACAGAGCCCTTGTCCCCCTCCCCTTGTCACCTTCCCAGCCCTCGTTAGGATTCAGAGCAGTGCAGGCTAATGAGATTTTGGGTGATGCTCCTCAAGTCCTGGAAGAGCGGGTGCCATGGGAGGGACGGGGGCTCTCCCCTGCGTGGCACCGAGGGTCGCCCGGTCTGGCCCCCGAGGTGACCCCCTGCCCATCCCTGGCCCGGCCAGGCGCAGAGTGCTGTGCCAGCAGCCCCAGGTGCGGGCGCAGGGCCGGGGGCTCTGCAGGCGCTCAGCCCTCTGCTCTCTCTGCTTGCAGCAATTCGGGAAGATCCTGGATGTGGAGATCATTTTCAATGAGCGAGGCTCCAAGGTGGGTGCTGCCCGCGGCTGGGGGCGTTACGGCAAGCCCTGGGGGGGGGGCCAGGTGGAGCCGGGAGGCCTGGGGGCTCCTCTGCCCTCTCTCACCTCCTCTCCTACCCCACGGGACCCAGGCACAGGGTACTGCATCCCAGGGCAGCCCCGTCCTGCTGCCCTGCGCCGGCTGGGGGGGGCCATGCGGGGCCCTGCCCCCCAAGCACCGGCGGGCGCGGGGGGCACAA